GTCCCAGGGACAAGCTGACAGAAGCATTATCATCAAATGTATCCCACACACCCTGTCCCAGGGACAAGCTGACAGAAGCATTATCATCAAATGTGTCCCACACACCCTGTCCCAGGGACAAGCTGACAGAAGCATTATCATCAAATGACACTTTCCAAAAAATATTCCTGTATCAGCTGTCACGATCACTACGGTCGGAGTCAGAATCTTTGTCGTGTGTCCCAAAATCTAGTACTGTGACCTATGGAAACAGATGCTTTGGGAGGGTTTCCGCTACGTTGTCAAATAGCTTACCATCAGCTTTTAGAAAGTCAAATACACTGGCCAAGTTCAAGAGGGACATCAAAACTCACCTCTTCACGTCTGCGTGTTAGAATCCTTGCAAGTACGAAATGTAAATACCACCGTTTTATTTGTTCAGTTATGTGCACATTGCTTGTTAAATGTATAAAATTGATTGTAAGCCTTTGTTGTTTGTTTTCACAATTATAACCATTACTGTTATCCATATGTTGTAAAGTGCTTTAGAGTAATTTTACAAATGATATAGGGCGCTATATAAATGTAGTATATTGTTATTATTATAGGTTATTTATTTTCTGGATGAGAGTCCTTAACTTATGTTTCAAACATTGCCATATGGAGAAAATGATGCATATTCCTTTCATTGATGGAATTAATTGAAATGCAGTTTTAAATTTTATCCTAGATCATACTTGGCAATCCTTGAGTGTTCTTCTGAATGGACTGTGATTTCTAAACATCACACAAAGCAGCAAGACAGTCATTCTTGTGGAGTCTTTTGCATGAAAGTAACACCAAATATGTTCTATTTATATAAGCAGTTTCTATTCAAGGATTGACGATCTACAATCTGAGAATGCATGTTGTCTCGTAATTGTTCTAATAAATTTTGTAACCTGATTGGCATGACTAGAAAAGAAGGGAACTTGCTGGTTATCAACCCGTTTAGACCCAATATATCCACGTCCAATCACTGAGAACATAGGAAATTAAATGCATAAGAATAATATTTTATCATTTCATTCACCTTGCTGAATTTTCTGTTACAAATAATGTAAGCAGAACAAAAATAAAGTTTGCTCGTTGTTACTTGCCAGACAGGAATATGATAACATACAGAGATATATGAATCTTAATTTTCCAAATTATGTGAAATGTTTAAAGAACACTTGATTTCACATTTACTTGATTTATAAAAAAGTTTTTCATTTATATCATTCTATGTACATATATATATAATAATGTATATTATTCCTTCTTTGCTGTTTTGACTTTTTGCAGTTTGCAGAGGCTATAGTGTGTGGTGGTAGTCTGAATGTGTCCTCAGACAAAATCCTGGACTATCGTACCGAAATTTTCCGGACAATAATACACAATCAAGGTACAAATAATAAGCTAAATCTGTATGTTAACATTCTTGTAAATAACAACTTAATGTTCACTTTCACAATCATTCTGAAAAATGAGTATATATACATGATTGTGGGTTCTAGAGACAAAGGAAATATCTTATAACCAGAATTAAAATCTATCTGATGAATGCAACAGTTTCCCATTATCATCTTCTAAAGTCACATGCAGTTCAAGTTCATGCAACATAATCTAGATTTGTTTAAGTTGTTGTTCAAGTTGGTGAATCTCCATTTATATTAGGGAATGAAGCCATAATATTCTTTTATCAAAAGTATTATTGCATATAGAAGAGCTTTCTGGTAATTTCAACAGTTACTTTGAAACTCTGAAGTGATAAAAAGGTACCATATCTTAACATAACTTGTGCAGGATTTAAAATGATTATGTCAATTTGTTTGAAAAAAGCCAATGTTTAAATTAAGTTTATCAAGTGCAGAAAATTCCAATGAATTCATTTCAAACCCTGATGGGGAAGAAGGAATTTGTGCCCTATTAAAGAGTCAGTAGATGATTCAAAGATTTGTTTATCATTTTCAGATCATGACACAAGAAATCTCTGCAGGTACTGTGGAAGGCAGAATCCTATATGCAGGAAGGGGTCAAATGCTTCAAAACATATTAGATGGGTAATGCAATTTGAAACCTCACTGAATTTAAAGTTTTAGATTTGTTGTAAATATCATGACTTAAAGTAAAATAAATAAATATTCAGTTTGATTTTATATTATCTTGTATTATTTCAAATTTTGTTGTGGAAACATTTTACCACAACAAAAATCTTTTATGGGTTTCGAACTCTTACAAGAAATACTAAATTTTGAAAACTTTTACAATTAGAGAGGGTATTATTACCCATACCATAGCATTATGAAGTTGAACTTTATCAATACCTCAACCATTAGGATGAAACAAGGTTTGAGCATTATGTTATTTTTTTATATAAATACTTTACAGATTGGATGTGATGCCTGTGACCTATTCTGGGTCCACCTGAATTGCTGTCAAGAGAGAATGCATGGAAGAAGAATCTTTTTGTGTGATATCTGCAGGCTTTGTGTATAGTCTGGGATAAATATTTGTTCCCAGAAGGATAATGTAACTTTTGATGCTTATTAACATCTGATTGTGGACTTTCCATTCACACTTCATCAGTGGTCAGATTGAACTTCATTCCATGCAGATTAACATCACTCCATTTGTTGAACTTCATTCCATGTATTGAAACTTCATTCCATGTGGATTAGCATTATTCCATGTATTGAACTTCATTCCATATATTTTGATTGAATGCCATGATTCCTGCTAAAATTCTAAACTCTAGTTCCTGTTATATTTTCCAAGCTCTTTGAAGTGGGCACAAGTGATTCCTATCTACAAAACATTTACCAAAGGCAACTATAAACCCAGCAGTATACTACCAGCATGCTAAACAACTAGCTGTCTTCAAAAGAATTGGTAAATATTTATCTAAACAAAGCAAAATGACCATATTCAAATCTTTTATTATGTCCAATTTTTAGCCCACCATCATCTGATGGTGGGCTATTCAAATCACCCTGCGTCCGTGGTCCGTGGTCCGTGGTCCGTCCTTAAACAATTCTTGTAATCGGTATTTCTCAAGAGGTACCAGAGGGATCTTTCTCAAATTTTATATGCAGGTTTCCCTTGGTCCTTAGCTGTGCAGGGCAATTTTTGAGACTGATCGGATAAACAACATGGCCGACAGGCAGCCTTCTTGGATTTTGATAGTTAATGTTTTGTTATCACTATTTCTCAAGAAGTTCTAAAAAAAGGGATCTTTCTCAAATTTTATATGTAGGGTCCCCTTGGTCCTGAGCTGTGCAGGGCAACTTTTGAGACTGATCGGATAAACAACATTGCCAACAGGCAGCCATCTTGGATTTTGATAGTGAAAGTTTGTTATCGCTATTTCTCGTGAAGTACGGGAGGGATCTTTCTCAAATTTTAAATTTAGGTTCCCCTTGATCCCTCGTTGTGTATGTTATATTTTGGGACTGTTCATAAAAACAAAATGGATTAAAAGAAGAACTAAACAGATCTTTCTCATATTGCAATGATCGATTCTATTTCTTTCACATTAAGTACCGTACTAGTAAATATGTGAAATGACAAACTCACTTTGAAGGTTGGCTTTCATACACATCAGTATTAAGTTTAGATCAAAAGTTACCTCAAGGTGCATTTACTGTTAACATGACTCGATCAAACAGATTAGAGGAAAGAAGAGAAAAGATTGAACTGACAAAGAACTAATGAAGATGGTACAAAGGTGGGCACCAAGATCCCTCTGGGATCTCTTGTAATTATTGCCTTCTGGCCTGGCACTTCTGCAGTGAAAGCAGTACATCAAAGATGGAAAAAATACAGGAACAACCCTTACGTTTTTGGTAGATGACCACACTACCCCTTTTTATAAAATTTTGATGAACTGTAAGTTGGATTATTTACATGTAAGGCATATTGAATTGATGGCCAAAGAGGATTTTAGGATTGTGAATATTTTATCACCTGCATATATTCAAGATCTTATCATGCTAAAAAATGTTTCTTATAATCACAGGAAAGAAAACACAGTCGAGATTCCAAGAGTGAACACCACCAGGTTTGACTTGAAGTCTTTCCGCTTTGAGGCAGCCAGGGTGTGGAACAGTCTGCCTAATGAGCTAACGACAGCTCGTTCTTTTCCGTTTTTTTCCATACTGCTCTGCACCCTGGGTGACTCTCTCTGCAACTGCTCCTTGTGTTCATGCTAGTTTGTCACTGCTCCTTTTATGTATTTATAACTATCTTACATGTTTCTCATACTACATGTTGTTTAACACTTGCCGAAGGGCAAGTGAGCTAATGTTATGGTGCGGAGTCCGTCGTCTGTCCATTCGTTCGTCTGTCCGGCGTCCGTCTGTCCGGCGTCCACTTTTTGCTTTAAACAACTTCTTTTTGGTTACCAAAAGGCCTAGGAAGATGATAATTGGCCAGTAGCATGCTGGGATCAAGGGCTACCAAGTTTGTTCAAATAAATGACCTTGACCCACTTTCAAGGTCACAGGAGTCAAATATGTTAAAATCTTCAAACAACTTCTTCTCAATAATCAAAAGGCCCAGAGTACTGATATTGGGCCTGAAGCATGCTGGAATGAAGGGCTACCAAGTTTGTTCAAATGAATGACCTTGACCCACTTTCTAAGGTCACTGTTGTCAGATGTCTTTAAAATCTTCAAACAACTTCTTATGAATAACCAAATGGTCCAGGGAACTGATATTTGGCCATTAGCATGCTGGGATCAAGAGCTACCAAGTTTGTTCAACTAAATGACCTTGACCCACTTTCAAGGTCACAGGGGTCATATATGTTAAAATCTTCAAACAACTTCTTCTCAATAACCAAAAGGCCCATAGTACTGATATTGGGCCTGTAGCATGCTGGAATGAAGGGCTACCAAGTTTGTTCAAATGAATGACCTTGACCCACTTTCAAGGTCACATGGGTCAAATGTCTTTAAAATCTTCATAAAACTTCTTCTCAATAACCAAAAGGCCCAGAGTACTGATATTGGGCCTGTAGCATGCTGGGATGAAGGACTATCAAGTTTGTTCAACTGAATGACCTTGACCAATTTTCAAGGTCACAGTGGTCAAATGTCGTAAAATCTTCAAGCGACTTCTATTCAATAAGCAAAAGGGCCAGGGTACTGAAATTTGGCCTGTAGCATGCTGGGATGAAGGACTACCATGTTAGTTCAAATGAATGACCTTGATCCACTTTCAACCTAATGTCCTTGTTCGACAACAAGGTCAGAGGCGTCATATGTTTAAATCTTTTAATAGGTTCTTATGAAATCTTAAGATTACAAGTGTTAGATTAATAACATGTGAGCGATGCAGGCCCATTGGGCCTCTTGTATATTGCTGGGGCAGAGGAGACTGGGTTTTCATATTAGTACTAATTTAAATCTTGCATGAAAAAACAAAAATAATAAACTGAATACATGCACCGTACTAACTGCTAGGGCAGTTATTTTTTCCTTTGAATACTGCCCACCTGCAATAATGATTCCGTCACATACTCCTTGCGCTATCTTTTGACCATTTGGCAACTTTTCATTTCGTAGCTGACTCTGTACAACTCTTTCGCTTACTTCACACAGCAAGTCATTTTGTTTACAAAGAAATGGTGTGCTATGCGCATGCGCTGGTAGAGGGAAATCCCTGAACAAAACGTTGGTCAGACAGGTAGAAATACTGATGATGTTTAGCTCACCTGGCACAAAGCGCCAAGTGAGCAAATGCCGTTGTGCGGCGTCCGTCGTCCGTCGTCCATCTGTCATCCGGCGTCAATATTTTACTTTGAACGACTTCTTCTTTATAACCGGAAGGCCTCGGGTGATGATATTTGGCAAATAGCATGCTGAGATGAAGGGCTACAAAACTTGTTCAAATGAATGACCTTCACCAATTTTCAATGTCACAGGGGTCGAATATGTTAAAAACTTTTAAACAACTTCTTCCGAATAACCAAAATGCCCAGGGAGATGATATTTAGTCAGTAGCATACTAGGATCAAGGGCTACCAAGTTTGTTTAAATGTATGACCTTGAATCATATTTAAGGTCACAAGGAGCAAATATGTTTAAAATATTTTAACAACTTGTTCTGAATAACCAAAAGGCTCAGGATGTTTATACTTTGCAAGTTGCATCCTGAGATGAAAGGCTATACAATGTGTTCAACATAATGACTTTGTTCGACTTTCAACCACAGGGGTGAAATGTTTTAAAAAAAATAACAGGGTCTTTTGAACGAATTTTAATCATAAATACTGATATTTTGCCTGTAGCTTTATTTTAGATCGCTTTTAAGGTTACAAGTGTGAGTTTTATACCAGGTGAGCGATGCAGGCCCATTGGGCCTCTTGTCTTAGTTTTAATCATTTTCATGAATCTATTTCAGCCAAATCCGATCGTTATTTTCCATAAGGAGTCTCACTTGATATGTTTATGTAGTAATTGAAAAAAAGACAAAAATAAAGTTATTTCACCGTGATGCCCCTTTAATTAGTGGATGACATTTTTACAATAAAAATTGTAGATTAGTATCATAATATGTTTTGTTTTAAACGACTGGCTATGGTATCCTCGATGTTTACATGTGACTTTTGTTATTTTAACGCTATCAGTGACAAACTTTTGAATCATTCAGAAACATCCACAATAGTGATCAATATGTATACCTCGTGATTTTTTTCATGCATGATGTCACAAGTTAGATATTCTGCCTGCCAAGAGAAAGACTTATCCATACACATGCCATCCATACCAGTGCCATTCTCAATCATCGGGGCCATCCAAATTATGAAACCTTCAAAAGTTTCATTGATTTAACTTTTCCATTTTACTTTTAGTACAATTTCACTTTCGGGCTAACTGTGGCCCTGGCATGGACAATATTGGTGGGCTGTAGTCGGATCTACCTGGGGATGCACACAGCAAAGGTAAGTTGTAAGATCTACCTGGGGATGCACACAGCAAAGGTAAGTTGTAAGATCTACCTGGGGATGCACACAGCAAAGGTAAGTTGTAAGATCTACCTGGGGATGCACACAGCAAAGGTAAGTTGTAAGATCTACCTGGGGATGCACACAGCAAAGGTAAGTTGTAAGATCTACCTGGGGATGCACACAGCAAAGGTAAGTTGTAAGATCTACCTGGGGATGCACACAGCAAAGGTAAGTTGTAAGATCAACCTGGGGATGCACACAGCACTGGTAAGCAGTCAGACAGGTTGGATTTTCAATATTTCACATGAAAACGTCTGTACACACTACTAGTTTATCAATCAACAGATCATTAGCCCATTATATGGATAATCATATTTAAGCAAATAAGCATCATCTACAGAATATAGAATAAAATTTATCACTTGAAGCAGAGTAGTGTTAAAGATTAGCTTCAAATTTGCCTTTAAAAATAATCTTTTAACTTATCTCGTAAATATCATACTTTTATGATGTAGCTTGACATAACTATGATTTCAGACAAGTTAAGCAAAATTATACATGTTTATAGGTGCACATGTCTCATTCCACTTCCTTAGGACCAGGCTTATGGATTTTACGTCAGAGCTTGTCGATTTTTAATTCTGGATACTGGGATATTTTTGCAGTTTCCTCCCCTCCCTCTGTAAT